CTATTTGGATTAAGTTACCTCCTCAGAAATAAGCAATCCTGCAAGCGCCTCCTATGGTTGGTGTGAAGGGACTGCTGGACAAGCACCCAAGTTGCCTGCTTTGGACACCTCTAGATGTTTTTTTAAGTCCTCTGCCTTGGGGATCACAGATAACAAGCACCCTCTACATCTCCGCATGGGAGAGAATCTTGTTTGAGATTCAAATGTGGTAGTCCCTGTGTTTTCTGGAAGCATGAAGTTAGCAAGTATGTCATTTCATATCTGACTTCAGATATATGCTGGCAGATGCATACACATCTATTGCATGCTAAGGGCCAGATTTTCCCTTGGATGCACATGGTTTTCCCTGCCGTCAGTAGCCAGGTACAGACTCCAGACATGATTTTTAAAGGCTGGAATGCATTTCATTTGTATTTTCCTAGAGTATAGTCATGTATCTCTTATGATAATAACTTTAAATGAATAGAGCCACCCATGCCTGAAGGTCTCTGGGAGCCTTAACACAAACAAATTAAAAATATAATTAGCCCAAACAATCAACATGGTAGAACATCTCCAGCTAAGCCTCATGTGGAAATCATTAGACTATGTAAACACTTTGAATCTCATTTACACTAAGGTCCCTTCCACTGCAAACATAATTTATTCCCACTTCAAGGTTCCATTATGCTGCCAGAGCAGTGTAAAGTGGCTTTAACATAAGTGAGTCTTTGGCCCTTTCTATAATAGTTCTGTTTACTTTGGAAACAGTTATTTCATAAAACAACTGAAGGCAAAATTGTAATCATCTTTCAATATTATGGTTGTTAATAGTGATACATGTTTAGCAAACTTGTCAGCTTTTTGTAAAATAATACCGGGCCAAACTACTGTATTGAGTAATACTGCTGACTTTGGGGAGCTTGATATCATAACAACTCTGGTTCACAGCTGCTGCTAAATGGTGTACTTTCTTGTGACCAGAGCAACTGTTCTGTTTGGTTTCTGGATTTTCAAAGTAAATCAGGTAGTGGCAAATTGAATCACGTATTATTTGTCCGACATAGCAATGAAATGATGTCTCTGTTTATTTTATTTAATTTGTTATTTCATTTTAAAGAGATCCTAATTATTTGAACTGGTACAAAATGGGCAGGAATCCACACACTTTCTAGATAGTTCTGTCTTGAAGTTCCACAGCTTAAGGAACACAACACAGCATGGTACACCTTACTACCGCCAGCCTCTGCTGTGACTTCACTGGGGTTTAAATCCCAGGCAGAAGGAGCGGCAATGGCTCAAAAGACAGCCCCTGCCCATATGAAGAGCCAAATGCAGTCCCAAATAAGCTAGCTGATTTTGTTTTACTCCAGTGGTAATGACTCTACTGGGAAAGCAGAACTTTCAAACTGGCACACTCCAAATTTGGCTGTAGTGCTCAAAACAGCTTTAAATCCAGCTAAAGCAGTCAAGACTTTCCAACAAGCAGGTATTTAAAAAAATAAATACATTCTTAGGAAATGGGTTTTGAAGACTTAACAAGCTGACCTCAAGAAGAGTGAAAAGCACATTATTTTTAATACTTGCATGTTTGCAAACACTGGTTAGGAGTACAGCTGGATTTCACTTCCAACACTGCACAAATATTCAAAACACATCAGTTTCAAAGATTTTACTGTCAGTGGATGCATCTACATGTGTGCTTTACTGCAGAGTTGGCTAATTAGCTGTGCAGTAAAGCGTCACCGTCTACATGTGTTACTCCTCTTAGGGCACAGTAAATTAACTCTGCTGAAGGATAGTACTATCCTACAGCAGAATTATTTAGTGCACCAAAAATGCATGTGTAGATGGTGACCAAGGCTGGCTGGGGGACAAGGGTGCTATAGTGCTGGGGCTGCCTGCCAGCTAGCCCTGCACTGTAGCAGCTTGTACCTTAGCCAGCTCTTCCACAGCATGCTGAGTCAGGGCAGAGCAGCTCCACACTGGCAGGCTGATCCCCAGACCCCCTGCCAGGATGCTCCACCTACAGTGATCTGAAGCGTGTGTGTAAATGTTGCACCTGCCTGTGCCACAGTTTATTGCTATGTGCTAATTACATGTGTAGATGCACCCAGTGTCTCTCTGTTACTAAAGTCCAAGCTGTTGCCACTACAGCATTACAATCAGGATTCCGTAGGGCCTTAAAGCTGAAGTGATTTCATGTTTACAGAAAATAAACTTAAAAAAATAAGAAATAATCCATATCATACTACCTCAAGTATCCGTAAATTCAATGCCAGGCTTTTATTTTACATATGGATAAAGTTAGGGAATCCAAGTATCACTTGCGGGAATCATAAGTTAGATCTCTCACATGTGCTACTTTCTGCTTGTAACTTTCTTGATCTTTTCGTGTGGGATTGAGGTAAATCTAAGTTTAAAATGAGGAATGTTTGCCTTTTTGTTAAGCAAAAGATATGGAAGCGCTGACTTTTAAGCTGTGGCATGTCACTTAGGTTTTGGTGGCATGTGACCAGTCTTCTCCTTTATTGAGAGATGCGCGTGCCATCATAAGCTGCAAAATCTTTGACACTGATGAGGAATGCTATATTGTTTGGTTGTGTCATCATAAATTTTATATCTATAAATGTCACAAGTATGAGATGAGATTTAGGGATAAGTAAAGAAGTATTTATTAAAGTGAGCATTATTATGCTATATATTATTTATCATGAATATTCATATAAGTTTTTAATCAGTCTGGACCCTTCAATTTGGAGTACAAAGAGACAACATAGTCACTATGGTGTAATTTGGTAAGCACAGTAGCAAGGAACAGATCCACATCCAGCCCTTTCAAGTGCTTGCCTTTATAGAAACAGGGCTGCTAGGTGATGGGGATGCCAATCTGCACAGAGAAAACAAGTAACCTGAGATGAAATGTTCAAGGGAAGCAGACACAGGACACACACCCAACAGTAAGTTTCTTATATAGTAAAGTTACCACAGGTTTTTTCAAGGGCTAATGTTACTCTGGATCCCAGGAACTAATTAAATATTAGGGTTGTGCGTGTTGCACATCTCCTCCCCTAATACTACACGGTGGGCCCGTCTCCATGTGCGTTTAAATTTCATTATGCTATTTTAATGCACATTAAAGTGTTACAAAAAAGCACGTGCTTTAGTTAATGGGCATTAAAATAGGTTAATGCACCTTTTTCCAGTATCTCACAATGGCATTTTTACACATGGTCTGGGGGCAGTGTGGGGAGGACTGTGCATTAATTACAGAGGCTCCGAGAGCCACTCTAATTAAAGCACTGCTGAGTCTTGTGTATCGGTGTCCCCCTCGCTTAAAAATGGCAGTGGGGGTGCTTGAACTAAAGCTCTTTCAATAGGGGAGCGTGGGTGCTTGAACTTAAGTATGGGGGTGCTGATGCACGAGATGCAGGAGGCTCCTGAAATGCTGCTGAATTGAGTCTGCCCCAACACGTTGGAATTCCAGTGCATTGGAGCAGCCTTGCTGCTTGTGTATAGGTACCCAGAAGTACTACATTTAATGCACATTAGGAAAAGCACATTAATGAACATGTAGACACGCCCAGTAAAGTCGATGATGAATGTAGCAACAGTATGGAGTAAATGTGTTGTATATTCACACTCTGAGATGAAGATTACTTATTCTTCCCAAGAGGCCTGATCCAAAGCTGACTGATATCTTTGTGCTCCTGTTTGGTGGAGTTTAGACTAGGCCCACAAGGTTAGCAGTAGTAATTTTACCAGTCTATGGCATCTTCCATGCAGAAAAGTCCCTGGTTATCTGTGGTAGATTGCACAGTAAGGAAGGTCTACCAGTTAAGCAAATATCCATACAGATCTTGACTTTGTACCCCACTGACACTGATGGAAATACAGTCAGCCCCATGGTCCATTGAGGATTTAAGTGTTGACTATGTTAACTTATGCTCTAGCATGACTGGGGAAAAGTGGCCCTTAGAAACATATGGGAGTAATTAAAAAGATCCTGATATGTGCTCTTTTGAAAGGATGGAAAATTCACTGCTGAGCATGGAGAAGAGAGCAGGGCTTCTGGGGGAACAAGGATTTCCAAGAATTTCTGGCCCTAAACCCTTGCAGCATCAGGCTGGGCAGGTGCCCATTTGTGGGTTCTCTTGAGCCACCTTCCTTGTTGGAAGCACAGTTGCACATTTGTCCTAGCTGCCATTGGCTTGCCATTGCTATTTGCAAAGTACTGGGAATTCTGGGTTCTCTTTGCCATTCTGTCTCTGACTCTCTGTGTGATTTTTGGCAAATAACTAGAAAAGTAAGTTTCACTGATGCATGTAGGAAGTTTTTACTTAGTTTCCAAGTTCTTCTGTACCAGCTCCATGCTACAATGTTTGTGTTGCAAAACCCACAGGGAAATACTTACTTGTCTAAGAAAAAATGATTTAAAGAGAACTGGAGAATCATCTCTGGTGGAGTTAGTTCTTTTAAGGGCTTATACATACACGAGTACTCACATATATATATACACACACACACATAGAAACATATGTAAATATATATTTATCTTCCATACATCAATGTGATCTGGCAAAGTCATTTTCATTTAGCTTTCATAATCTGACTTTTGCCAGCTTTCATTATGACCCAAATCTGAGCAAAATGTTATTTTCTTAGCTCAATATGCTGACATACAATAAAATTACAGCAGCCCAGATGCTATCAATGCTTCAAGGTTAACCAAACAATGACACAGAACTGTTTTAGACTTGGAGAAATCTGCCCCAAAGATCAGCAGCATTGGGCAAGAAATGCAGTTACAAATTAAAACAAAAAGGTAATATTTGCCAGTTGCTGCAGATGTTTGATTTAAGTTTTGGACCAAACTTTTTCATTAGGATGAGCCCGAAGATGTTGGCACTGGTTTATGAACTAGCAACAGAGAGTAGAAAGAAAAGTTGGCTTTGTAAATGTTTTCCTATAAGATAAGCAACCGAGACAACTTTTTAGGTTTGCTTGCAAAAACGACTTACCTCTTGTGAGTGCTTCCAGATTTTTTGCTATCACAGGAGGCATTTCTTACTGGGTACAACTCTGCAGCATGAGGTATTTCTGTTTCAGCCGTGTCCACTTGACCATTCGCTGATCGCTCTCTTAATTTCATGATGTCATTTTGTGAATCCAAAGACACAATATCAGATGGAGAACTCATGACCCCTGAATCATCAGTGGTATCTTCTGATGCAAAGCAGCTGCTTACTGAGGCTGTTTCCTCTAGCTCTGATAGTTCCAGGACCACATCATCCACAATATATATATATTCTTGTGTGAGTTGTAGGCTCTCTGGATGAAACATAGCAAGGAGAATTAGCTGAACTTATTACTTATGCTTAGGGAGCTCCTAAGGAGAGTAATAAGCCCATAAGGAGAATATCTATCACATTGAACTTAATGGGAATTTTGCTAATGACTTAGAGGGTCCATGGTTTCACATGCTATGCATATTCCTGTCTGATTGGAAATGGAGAGAAATGCTGTCTGAAATAGCAAGAGTGAGCAAGGCACTTGCACCTTTAAAAAAGATGACCTGAAAAAGTGAAGAATGATGCTTTCTCCCTTCTTTGCTTTCTGAAAGGTGCTTCTCTTTCCCCTTATTTTCTATTAAAATGTCAGTGCTTTTGAATCTGTCTACTGGCTTACTCTATAGAGCTCCTTGGGGGATTGTGAGAATGGGAATTTTCTGCTCCTTCAAAATGAAAGAGTAGTGATTTTAACCAGGATAATTATTTTCCTTAGTGTTGGTCTGTTTGACTTAAACAGGCATTAAAATTAAAGAAGCAAAATAAAAATCCCAAAGTTTTAAACTGCCTGGTTTATAATAAACAACCAACCAAACACAAAAAATTATTTCCATCGCTTGTGGTGTCATAATCCATCTTGTTCTTTTGTTGAGAGCAAGGAAGTCCAGAAATTCAAACATCAAATTCTAAGCAGAAATAAACCCTTTACTAAAAACAAGACTGGCACTAGGGAGATGTATGCTCTATTCCAGGTCTGCCACTGTCTTGCAGGGCATTCCTACATGAGCTGTTTTATCTCTTTGGCTCTGAGCCTTGGCATCTTTAAAGTGTGGATGATGATACCTCTCCCCTCTGTAAAGCACTTTTAGACCTGCTGATAAGTGTTTTATCTGAGTTAGGTATTGCAATTAAAATTAAACAAAGTAGAAAGTTTGTGACTTTCTGTCCTATATAGAAGCATAAGATAGGAAACACAGGCAACAGTCTTCCTTTTACAGGTCAAAGTTTAACTTTGTGAAAGAGGTAAGTGATGAATTACTTAAGAATTACTCAATGTACCATTGTTCACCCACACTGCAATTCAGTTCTTTTCCTAGGTTTTTTTTCTTTACCAAAATATAAACTTTTTGATTTTTCAAAAGCAATACACAAATTTGGGCTCCATCCTGCAATTATTCCATTTGATGAGAATTCCCAATTAGGTCAACATTTTTGACAATGAAGATGAAAACTGAATCCAAATAAATGTCTTTCAAGAAAGAGAATAATACATTTTTTCTAAATATGGAATTATGAGTAAACTCCATTATGCTCTTTCAGCTCCCAGGGAGAGGAAGATTCGAAAGCAGTGTGTATTCTATCCTGATTCTGTAAACATGCATACATGTGCTCACTTTAATTGAGTAGTGCCAATGACATCAATGGGACTACCATGATGTGTCAACATTAAGCAAATGCCTAGGTGTTTGCAGGGTGGGAGCCTACAATTAAAAAAATAAAGAATATGAAGGTCAGTAATAATAATACAGACAGACAACTATTCCATGTGTTAAATTACATCTTGAGCTGCAGTATTTTATTCCCTTTTGAAAAGCAACAAGTTATTTGACCAGTGTTTGGTTAAGAAAAAAGGAGATGTTTTGTAGAAATGCAGTATTAAATAAAATATATATAGTTTTTAAAAAGATGAAGCTTTAAAAAAATTTGAATAAAATCAAACCAAAATTCTCCTTGGCTGAGGTTACAAGATACCATTAAGCATTGAAATTGATTTCTGGCAGCAGAAGTAATAAAATTCATAGGATTACAAATCATGATTAAAGCTGTAAGTGCTGTCAGGCATCAATATTAATGATTGAGAATGTTACAGAAAGTCCATGGCAACTTTGGGGGCTATTACTTTATTCATTTGACCTTATTTTCTATTACATTAGTTCTAGTTTTTCAGATTTAATCAAGGATTTTATCAAGCTTAATAGGACACGTTATAAAAAAATATAGAGAGGGCGCTAAACTGATCATGGTCATAGCACAGAAGAGCATCTAGTACAGCCTGAACACAAAGATGTAAGAATAACCATGTAACTAAAGCCCCTGCCTCAAAATGGGAGAATGTGCCCCTACAACACACAATAAACAAACATCATATGGTGTACATGCAGCTTGGTTATCAATTAACTTGAAACATGTATGAATAAAAGCTAAAATAAGAGAATAAGAGAGGGAAATAGAATATATTATAGCAAAGAAAGTGCTTTAAAGGGGAAAAAAAGCACACAGGGCAGTTTAGAAGCAATGCACGATGCAATATAACTTGATGCACAGACTTTCATTGATAACTATAAAATAGCTGTGTCTGCTGCCTGAAACATGCCATCCCTGCTGCTGCTACAAGGCTGCATGTGCAGTTTGCTACTGACATGATTCCACCTGTTGGCATACGTATCTCTGCATTTGGGATTTCTCCCTTCCTAGGGTTATAACTCCCTCTGTTCCTCTTTTCTTACTTCCAACTGCATTGTGATGTGGAGATTTTGGGCTGCCCCCTCCATTGCCAATGATGTACAGCAAACTGTCAAGCTTCAAGTCTTGCAACACCTAAAACTCCTGTTCCATACAGCAGCAAAGATAATAGACAGCCCTCCCCAAAATATTCACGCCCAAATGAGAAAAGAATCCAGCATATAAGACTCTGAATCCTGGAGTCCTGGGATTTGATGTGAAGACCTTGCCTCCAAGACCTAATACTACATTTCTGTTATGACATGTGGCAATGTGAAACAGCATCTTCTTACTCAATACTTCTGTACAAATTGGTCACTCAGTCCATCAACCCACTGTGGAAAAAGAGAAATCTTTCCTGCTTACCTACCCTCCTAGTACAGCCAAGGCCTTGTCTTCATGAGGAAAAAAATAAGTGTGTTTTTACTGTTTCAGATAAATTGTCTTAATTAGCAGTATACCTGGTTGAGATAAAAGGTATAGTCTTCTCCAGAGCTAACTTCTACCTTGGCCCATAATCTTCACTTGGAAGTCAACAGGGGAAACAGTGCCCTGCTGATATTGTATAATTTTCAGTGTCCTTTGATTCAGTTGATCATGAGGTGCTGATAAAGAGTTTACATGACCCGGTGGGTATTTGCAGGGCAGTTCGTAATTGGTTCCAATCTTTTCTAGCTGGGAGATCTCAGAGGGTCAATGGGCAAGACCTTGTCATCTCCTTGGGATCTTCCCTCTGGGGCCACTAGGGCTCCAACCTGATCAACATATATATGAGGCCACTGGGAAAGATTGTTAAGAAATCTGGGGTGAGGTGCCATCAGAACACTGATGACATTACTCTATCTTTCTTTTTAATCTGACCTGGGCTGTGCAGTCTCTGTTCTTTCTCAGTGCTTGACTACAGTTGTGGATTGGGTGTGGATGAACCAATTGAAGCTGAATCCAGACAAACAGAGGTGACAGTGGTGGGCAGTCTGCATGACCTGTGGGAGTTTAGCACACATCATTGTGGAGGTTCAGCCTCTCCTTTTCACTCAGGTTCATGGCTTGGTTTGGGGCTCCAAGTACTATAACTGGATCTTCAGGTGTCTCACTTTCAAAGTGTCTTTCACTAAGTTCATCTTCAGCTAGATTCAGCTAGGGCCCTTCATGGCTTGGGCCCTACAAACATAAGACTGCCTTCTCCCTTATGCCATATTGTGATATCCAAAATCATCCAAGAGAAACCTCTCTGCAAGTATCATCAATACTTCAAGTTCACCTGGCAAAAGCACATGAAAGACTGTTCTTGGTAGTCACCCTTCTCTCCCGCTTGAGGCCCACCAGAGCCCAAACCTGGACATCTGCTGGAAGCACTATAAGACTTTGCCATTTGAGTAGGAGTTTAAGCTGGCAAAACTAAGATAAGGTAATGTTTTTTTTCCTTTGGAGTGGGTGGAGGGTTGCTCTACAATACACTGTTAATATAATTATAATATAATATCTTAATATGCTGTTGACTTTAATAATTTATTTCATTTTTCCTGTTTTATTCTTGTTTGTTTTATTAGCTATTTGGTTCTCTTCTGTATGCCACCCTGAGTCTTTGTCAGGAAAGGTTACATATAAATCTAAATGATAATGATAATAATAATAACCAAATAACCCACATGAGAACTTGTCTTCAGTGGGGCTTTACACTGAATTCATTATCATAATGGTAAGAACATACCACTATTTGTGAAACAGAATCATCCTCAAGGAGAACAGGCTGGCTCCTGCTCTTCCTTGTGGATTGTTTACACAATTTCAATCACACTCAGCCAGGCAAAACTGCTGAAGGGAAAGGGATTGCACATGTGCCAGTGGGACCATGATTTGCCTTACTACAAGGGATGACGCATGATATGAAAAGCACTAAAACTTGACTTTCAGAAGCCAGGTTCTGTGTCCAGAGCTAGCAGCAAGAAAGCACTTTATAGAAAGTGTAACTTGTAAACAAAGTGCATTTGATGTTAAAAATGCAAAAACAGTGCATTTTTTCTCAATTCACTTTTCAGAACAAAACTCCAATCCAGAGGCAGAGGAAAGATACAGGAACTGAGGACATACTGACTGTTTTGCTGTAAGATGCTTAGAAATGAGTAGGGATGTGATTTTAGTTGCTTCTGAAAAGAAAAACAAAGCACTTTTTCCTGTTTTCTCCCCTCTCATTATACTATGCCCAACAAGACTGCAAATGTAGGCCCCGATCTTGGAGTTCTTAGGCAAAAAAAGGGTTCTCAAGTAACAGACACTGAGCAAGAACTTCAAGACCAATCTCACAGATGATAACTACTTCATATAAATTAATGTGGTAGGTTGTCTGCATTGCTAAACACATAATGAAACCCAACTCCTGCTCTCAAGGACATCTATGCAAATCCACTGACTTCAATTGGCTCATGCTGTGGTAAAGGGGAGTAGAAATTGGCCCACAGTCTATTAATCAGCAATAGCATTTCATACTGTGTGGCATCTAAATCTTAACTGAAATTAGATGGTGCCAAGCAAAACATTGCT